ACCACAGGATTTCCCGGTCTTTTCCTAGTTTGGAGAACTTTAGCTAGATCGTGAGATAGTTTCAACAAGTTATTTATAAAAATAACAAACAAGAACCTAGTACTTAGTAGTAGGTATATCGAAAGCCTTCAACAAGCTTTATTCATATTAAGTTGTGTTGCTTGTTAACACTTTCAATAAACATCGTTGAATGTAACGTAAAGTGCTTGCCTCAAACGAAACAATCACAACTTACTTACCGTACTCTATATTTTGCATCATAAAATTCAATGTTGTATTAAAATCGACATGCGATAAAAACAATGTTAAACAACATTCTACGCCAGAACCTCATTAATTATTATAATTATAAATATCCGGTGGAAAGAGCAATAAAATGACTTATCTGTTTCATGGTTAATTGGAATATTTATGGTCATTTAAGTTGCTCAAACTTTAACTGTATCGATGCATGGTTTACGTAAGTGCTTGAGTTGACGCGTGATACCATCAGAATCGGGTTATCTCGCGGGTAGGATCTGGATTGCAGTGATTTATCAAGCCCAGATCAGGTCATGACCTATTATAAGGCAAGTNCAGCAAGTAGTTCTATTTCGAACAAAAGATCGCCGCTTGCTCTTTGCAACGTAATGGCATGAATCATGCTCCTGTCATTTGTTTGTTGTCCAGTGACTGGACCTTGTGCGACCTAACGATATGATGTGGTGTGGGAGTTTGATTGTTACAGTGTATCCGTTTCCAATTTTTTTTTATCCACAACGAGGATGCTCTTGGCCTGTATCTCACCTGATGGCAAGTGATGATCAGGCCGAAGGTGGAAGTGGATTGTTCGGAAAGTTAAAAACTGCTGGGACAATCTTAATCAGTTAGCTTTGCAAAAAATTAAAATTATGTATTGAAACTTGAAAGCTCTCGTCTTATTTAAAGTACTTTTAATGTTTAAGGAAAGTCTATGTATATGTCGTTCATCTGTTACTATTCGCAACGTTTCATTTGATATCGACAAACGGAAGCACAAACAGGTGGGAACAAGTAGGATTCCTTGGGAATATGTGCAATAACACACTAAAGTTAAATTGATACTTAGTGGGGCTGCAGCCCAAAGTCATCCTACGCAATAATCATCTTGACTCCACGATGCTCGTGCGACGATAATGCTAGTCAGTTGTCAGTTGGAGCCTTTGTTGTGTAAAAGTAGCAAATTGCGTGACTTTAGATGCGCGTAGTTCAAGTGTTAAATTGATTTTATCGACCCCACGACTCAGCTACTTCATATTGCCCAAATTATTTCTTTAGAGGGAACTTTAAAAATACAATGAGTACTAAAGTTGATAATTTTACGACAGAGGCTTTCTTGTCCTACATCCCAGGCTAAATTAAAAAGAATGGATTACATGTAACGAGAAATGAGGATACATGAAACGAGGTTTAGAACTCCAATCAATCTCGAGCACATTACACGAGAATATTAAATGTAAAAAAAATATTAAAAGCCTACTTTACAGAATGACGCGAGTGAACCCACTGGAAAATATTAGTAATTAGTACTCATAAATAAAGTAAGCACATACTTAATACTAATAACCGGGATATACATTATACGAGTAGGTACTTACCTACTTTTTTCATTAGACTAATGCACCTAAGTCAATGCCACTGAGCTTATCTGTAGCGGCCTTGATTTGTATGCAGATAATAATTTAAATGCATTATTTGTTGTTGAAAGAACAGATACTTTAGCATGACATGACATTGTCTAGTGGCTAAGCTGATTGAAACTTAGATCTTAGATTAGTAGGACTGTAATTTTAAATAAAAAGTATTTCACCAATCGTCATGTTTGTTGGAGCGAGAAGGTTGCAGTAACTTTTAGTTGTCATTTTACTAAAAATATCGTCATCTCATAGGGATAATTGGACAGGTACGCAGGTCTATGTTCAGCAGACGTCCTGTGGCTGAAATCCTGATGATGATGAATGATGATATTACGAGTAAATTGCTAAAGCAACAAACAAAACATTATTGTAACTGTACTCTCCTATTTCGACGACCTGATAAAGGTAGCAGGAAGGCGCTGGATCAGGCCGTGCGATGGAAGTAATTGGGGAGGCCTATGTTCAGCAGTGGACGTCCTGTGGCTGAAATATTGATGATGAACATTTCACGAAATTCACAGTCAATGTAGAACAGGTAGATAATATATAGGTAAGTAGTCTGTTTGAATGCATTGTGTAATCACAGGCTTCCAAATATACTTAGATGCTACAGAGATAATACGATAAAGATCAAATATTAATAATATCTACCTACCTAGCAGTCGTTCATTTTGAACAGTCAATGAATTACTTTTTCGAATAGAAAGCAACTCAGATAGAACTAGCTTAATCGGTGTAACGTAAGCCCATTTAAATAATTGATGTCATTAATGTCCTTTTGATCCAGTTTTTTTTTCGATAAATTGTGGGCACATCAAACAAGAATATCAGGAGTAAGTTACATGCAAATTGGGCAACTTGTAAGTGTTATTGGTGTTTAAAATCGCGGGTCCAGACACGGCGCTATCTACGACATCTAGTTTTAATTGCTTGTCGTTGAGTGTGTCACACGTTGCATAATGCTCGTACGTTAAAATGTACTTTGCATATCATATATCAAAAAAAAAGAAATGTTGAAATACCCGGTGCGATTAATCGATGCATACCCAATCATACTTAGTTAAAGTTTCTTAAGTAATTAGATATGTGTCTAATAGTGTAGACTGCATATTCCTACAATTGAGAGATATACGCTGCCAAATAAGTTTCAATAGGTCTATTAAACGCTACATGTTACATTCTACGTAATACCTCTTAAGTATCTCAATATAAAAGATATCGTAACTTGAAAATTTGATTTTGATGCTTGCTTCAAGTTTCGTCTTTCTCAGAGGCTTACGACAAAAAACAAACCTGTAATATTTTTACCAGTTATTACGTTAATACCTGTTGATAGATACTATCATGTCAATGGTTAAATGATTGATGAATCATAGAGATCAATCTGTGCACGACAGGTCAACTCTTGGATAAATAGTATTTTATAGACCAATTGCTGTTGTGTAATGGTTGCGATTTAAGTAATGCGATATCATTCGCTAAATTGTCCCTGAGCGATATTTACTTCAAAACAAACTGGATCAAAAACGATGCGATCTTGTGATTCGGAATCGCCCACTTTTGGTTTGCAGTGCGAGTGATTTCGAAATACGAATGGTTTGTTGTTTGAAGACTCAATAAGTGGGACGTTGCGAATTTGAAGGGAGCCGTTACGATGTCCAAAATGTGCGTAGCGTGAATAATATTGCAATAATGATAATGCGAGTTAAGAGCAAATTAAATTTGTGATAAATTTACGATGTGTATAAATAAAAGAATGTGCTCATTTTATTATAGTAAGTGTACAGCCTCAGGTGTGTTTATTGTTTTATATTGTACTTTTGCGTAAGGCGCGTCGTCATAAACTAAAATAAAAAAACATTTTGAATTTGAATTTGAAAACCTTTACAAAGTGAAACACATTTAAATGCTTTGGAACCTTTAGGCTGAGTTGTACTATCTACTTTAACTTTGACAAATGTCAAAAATCTATCAAGCTCCATACAAAAACACCGGATAATATTAAAGTTACGGTCAAAATTAGGTGGTGCAACTCAGCCTCAGATCCTTACCTTCTTCACAATCACAAGAAACATGTCTATCGACACATTTTGGTGATCCTTTGTGTATTTTTGGCTATACTGTTTACTTACAATTTACAAGAATAGCTTATACCAATTCAATATTAATATTTTTGACCTTTGTAAAATTTATATTTTTTAATAAAGCAATCATGACGCCCTCTAGTGTAAAGCAAAGTAACTTTATAGTTGAGCGAAATAAGTTGGTGCGCACGATTTGAAAGTGTTGAAGTTGAGTTCACGTAAAAGGTTTACGAATAAGTACGCAACTGAACACATAGATGTAGTGATATTGTATAATCCTAATCATACCCCATAAAGGTAAAAAATCATGGAAGACAAAAAAAATGAGCATAGGTAGACTTCGCCAATGATTTCGTATTGGATAGAAAAATAAGAAGCAATACTACTGGTAATTAGTACCCAGTTAGTATCTAAAGATCTTAGCGCTACATTGTAAGTAAATGTAGCAAAACAATCACATTTCAATTACATTGTATTACAGTAGCACATCAAACTATACATTTTTGTAGCAAAATAGACTGTATTACACCGAGATAAGACGCTACAGTATTTAGCTTGTTGTGCTGTCATCAGTATCAGTATCTACTACACATGACCCCGCCACGGGTCTAGATGAGCCATTACACTTACCTGGTCACTCTGGCGTGTAGCACATAAACATGAGCGATGCACATAATGACCCAACATAAATACGAGAATTTTTACTGCCTGCCTCGTTTAAGTAGTGCAGTGGTTCCCAAAAATGAGATTTTGTTCCACGTTGGGCGCCACGTAACAGGCAAGAAGACGCTTTACCATTGCTTGCTCTATTTTTAAAACAAATCTTTCATAATATTTAACATTTCAGTAATCTACAATTTTACCGTCAATAAAAAGCAAGTATTTAGTATTGCGAATTAAGTTGAAACGTACGTGAAAGGTGTTAAATAGCCAACTGGGTTTTTCAAAATACGAATCATGATGCTTGGCAGAATTATTCTAAGGCTAAGTTGCACCACTGACCGTAACTTTGACGATAACCGAGTAAGTATAACCCAGCCTAAGTGTAGGTGCTTCAGTGCGTAGGTTTTAGAAGCACTGGCGTACCGTAAGGTTTGCATACAGTAGTATCAGTAATTTTAATTGACAACAGGACCTTTGTCGATGCAAATGCATCCGCCGGCAAGCACATTGTTTCACTTATCTGATGATATGTCCCTATAAAAAGGGGGTACGACTTCAGACGTTCCTTCAATACAGTGGTCTAGTGTATGAAGACATTCAAGCCGCAGTAGAAATGGATTTTGTGTATTTGAGGGCATGTATTAAGTTATTTGATTAGTGGTAACGAATATCAGTGAAATTAATAAGTGACATCTATTAGCCATGCCGTTTTGCTTAAAAATAAACGAGTTACTGCTTATCTTCATAATCTGTGAAGTAGCGTAGTAAATGATAGTAATCAGATACGGCTTCATAACATGTTTCATTACGTAAAAAGTACTCATATGTATAGAGCCTCATTACAAGTTTTAAGCTTGTTGAGGACATACCAATTCGTTATAAGAGGAGGATAGTAACTTGAAATGGATTACGTTCATGTAAGGCCCATTATTAATGTAATTATACGAATTTTAGGTGATGTTATTGGTGAACAGTTGGCTGATAGCAAAGGGTTCCCCGGTGGCCATGCTTCAGCATGCTACTTCGTCTCAGAGCATCGTGTTTCATCCTGGACCGCCTACAACAGCACCTCCAGTCGCCGGTAACTTGGAGTATTTCATTTTTATTGGATTAAGGCCGATTTAAAGTGTAGTCTATCCGTCATTCTTACCTTTATGGTCTCTTAAAATACCTGATGTATTCTGAAAAGACACTGAAACATGTTGATATTTTATTCGTCTATTTAAAGTTTTCGCTTTTTACAGCTCCGTCATCAGCTGAACAGTATAGCAGTACCCAGGTAAATATTGTTTTTGTTAGGACCACTACCACACACTTTAAAGGTTAACTTATCTCTTGGGTTTTCTCAAGTCAATAATAGTCAGTCAGCAATAAGAGCCTGGATGCGGGCAGTGCAGGACCGTGCATTGTGGAAAACCTTGGAGGAGGCCTTTGTCGAGCAGTGGACGTCATTTGGCTGAAACGAACGAGCGAACGAATATATTGCTACAGTTCAGTTTGTATGTTTTATTGTTAATTGAATTTTTTTTTTCAGCCGAAGTACGAATATAAGTACGAAGTATCCGACCACCAGACAGGCGATAGGAAGAGTCACTGGGAGAGCAGGGAAGGCGACAGAGTCCGAGGAGTCTACACTCTATACGAGCCTGACGGTGCGCTCAGGACTGTGGAGTACTCTGCTGATGCTTTGCATGGGTATTTACACTAACTGTTATTATCTTTTTCTAATCTCAAACACAGAGAATCTTTTCGCGTAGTGTTGATTTTGGATTGTCTAAGGCTGGGTTGCACAATCATACTTTAACTTTGACAAACGTCAAAAATCAGTCAAACTCCATACAAAAAACACCGGTTATCGTCAAAGTTACGGTCAAAGTTAAGTGGTGCAACTCAGCCTTAAAGTACTCGTAAATTGTACATTCGTCTGACTCTACTTTCTACTGTTGGTAAAGGCTCTTCGTGAGTTTTTAAATTTTGAAGTTTCCCTGTTACATATAAGTCTATAAGTAAGATAGATTGTATATGTAGACGTAGGACTCTATACTTTTATAGGTACAAAAGATAAGGTTTACTTTTCGGTAGGTATTAATCCATCGGTGTAATTTAAAGATTACTGTAAACTACTGTTTCCTTCCCGGCAAAGCATATCCTATCAATTAATTTAACAACCTGAACGCCCCAAGTATTTGTACTTATGTGTTTATTACCTATTTTGGAACGATTTACTTATTTACTGGTTCATAATTGGGCTGGGCAACTGAAGACATTAATGTAGGAAACATAAAATTATTTTATTAGGCCAATTAATATTGGAAATTAACCATTATTTGTTATTATTTTTGACAGGTTCAACGCAATTGTAAGGAGAAATGAACCATCCAGGCATCAGCACCCTCGCGCGGAATCGTCATACAGTCCCCTAGCCTCTAACACTCAAAGTGGCTACCGGACAACTCCGACGCATTCAGGTTACATCCCTGAAAGGGGCTTCTCAAATCCTGGACACGGTAGCGAACACCCATCGCACTCTGCTCCCAGTGGCTCCTTCAATTCAGCAGTGGGGTTCAGTGTAAAGCATGTCATGGAGCTCAAAAAGGATAATCAGTATAAGCCATTTTAATTGTGCTGTTTATAGCGGTTTGATTAGTTTGGTCGATTAATTTGTTTTTGAGTGCGCTGATTTTTTGACCTTATGTCTTGTCTTATGTGGATTCCGGATATTAGATGTATAGTACCTATAAGTTGTTTTCTATGTTAATTAAGTAGGCTACTGTAATTCTAGTTAGTTATAAAGATAAGGATGTACTTAGCGACTTTTTGGTTAGCTTTAAATCTTATTTAAGAGTGTATTTTATTATATCACCCACCGCGTTTTTCCCAAAGGCACCATTTTCCCAAAGACATTTTAATTGCGTTCATAATGATGACGTAGGTAATCTAATAAATCTTTTTCCCGGTTGTTGTATCTCTATTATATTTGTGATTAAGACAAAGAATTCTTGATCGTAAGCTTAAGTTTTTTGTTATGTTAAACTCTAATAACAATTTTCTTTTCAAACTAACATTAATATTATACCTACCTACTTACTAGATAGAACCGTAAGGATAGGTTTTATGTAGATAGCTTACTGTGTTTGTAAATGTATCAACTTAAAATAAAATGAATTTTCAATGAAAGAGTTCATTCTTGTACTTATTTTATTCGTCAGCGCTGGCGATTTGAATGATAATATAAATATTTTGCAGTCATTTTTGGTTTCAGTCGAGTTCGAAATGTTCGTAGCAGATCCAAGTTTAATGGTGTCCATGATGGTGGATATGGTGGGGATGAACATGATGCGTCTTATGGTGGACCACGGCGTTGAAACTGTAACGAGATATACAATTAGTAATTTGATTAGGAATAATTATGAATCTGCTATGAAAAACACAGTTTCTTTTCCGCGACCAATCATTTTGAAGTTCCCTAACTTAATTCCTAAGATGATAGCAGTAAAATCGTCGTTGAGATAAGTGAATAAATTGTTCAGTGCCATTTAAGTCCTCCGTGTTATGGTTATGTCATTGCAAGGGATTCATATGCGAGCTTTTCCACCAACCGACCAACCCTTTTGGTTTGCGTGGGGTGTTTAGTTAAAATCCTCAATTTGTCTCTGGTAAATTAGAGGGTCATGCTCCTACAGCGGAGATTAAATGACTTGATGATAGTGATGATGATGACTTCTAAATAATTATGTTCTTACCCGGTGTGGTCATTAGCATTGTAATGAACGCTGCGCACGTTGCCGTCGGGCTCCACGAGGGAGTACTCGCCCTTCACGGAGTCTCCGTGGCGGGACTCGTGCTGCTGCTTGTGGTCGCCGGTGTGCGGGTCCTTCACGGAGTACGAGAACGAGTACTCAGGGTGCGCCTGGGAAGAGACATGAACATGAAAGACAGGAACAAGGAACCCACTGAGCATATGCTTTGACCCACTATAACGAAAGCCACGAAATTACCGATTAAATTAAATCGTCAGATTAGGTCTCATAGGCGAAATGAATAACATTCCAAATATGACATTTCGAATAAACAGTAGTAAATAAATGGAAAGTCACATCAAAATTATCAGATTTACAAAATGGTGCAAACTGTGGCGAGTTTTCATAAGTGTCAATTTAATATTATTTTCTCGTGTAATTTTGGACCTATGTTAAGATATCTTTAAAAATAACAGTATTTAGCTATATTACTATTAACACACTTAGAATTTTTTGGAAAATTGGAGACAACATGCACGAGATTCTAAAAACTTACGTGGTAGTCATGGTGGCCATGTCCGTGAGCATATCCGAGGTGGACGGCGTGCCCGATGTGGTGGGCGTGGTGGCCGATGTGGCCCAGACCGTGGTGCCCGTGGTGGCCGAGGTCGTGGTGGACAATGTGTCCAACTCCGTGGTGGCCATGGTGGGCAATGCCGTGGTGGGCAATGCCATGGTGGGCAATGCCGTGGTGGGCAATGCCATGGTGGGCGATGCCGTGATGGGCAATGCCGTGGTGGGCGATGCCGTGGTGGCCAAGGTGGTCTACACGGGACTGGTGCGACACGGCATGAGAATGCGCGTGAACGCTTACGACCAGCAAAACTACAGCGGCGACCTGAAACAGAATTACATATTAATAAAGTACGAAAACTGTAAGGAGAGTGACTTGTTATATTAAATACTAGATGATGATCAAAATGATACAAAAGATATTGTTTGGAATTAGTGGTATAAATTATATTTATTTTTCTGATTAGACAAAGCTAAGATCCGGTGTTATTATTAATTTTTTTAACCGGTTTGATCTTTATCCCTTGGGTACCACTAAACTGCAACCCTTATATTTTTATTCAGGATATTTGTGTGGGATACTCACTTGGGACCACATTTTGTAGAATGTAGGTAACTCTTTGGAAGCTACTACTGAAGTATGTAGATTCAGCGAAGCATAATCCTTTTATTCAAACTGTTAGCCAATGTACCCCCTGCACCAAATTATAGCGACAATAGTTTCCCTTAATTAATTGTTTCAAGCAACACGCATTATTATTGGGTTCCCCGAGACGTTACAAAAAACGGTTTGGTGTTGTATTTTGATAAAAATATTAATGTATAACTCCTATAAATATGAACACAGCAAGCATTACGGTAAATGTTTAACCGTCGATCTTAATCTACAAAAATTTTGATGAAGAAGTCAACTTAACATATTAAAGTCCGAGAAAAAAGAAGAAAATGACAAGTGTTTTTCCGTTTCTCTGAAAATTCAAGTGCATTTAAGGGTATAACCTGAGGACTGTCAGGATATTACACCGTCAAGTTTCGGGGAATTCCATAATTTGCTAGTTGTCAGCATGGAAACAGGTACACATACAATATCATAGTGTAGGTATATATGTAATTCGTACGTATAAAAAGAAAGCTTGAATTACATAGCTTCAACAAAAGTAAAAACTGCAAAAGCTTCAAAAACATTCACCCATTCATTAACTCATGCATCATAGTGCATCATACGGACAAAAAAGAGAAAATTATATACAAATGCGACGTACTGAACTCTGTGCCATCAATTGTGAAAACTGATGAGCCAAGGACGGGGGTCATCATATTACGAGTCTTTAACAAGTCATTACACCTGTCTGTGATTAAGTGGTTACAGTTTGTAAATAAAAACACTAATAGTCGTTAATAATTCCACACTTTAATTAATTTGTATACTAGAATTTATTGTTCAGTTAATTTATTAAAGTGCTAGTTAAAAAGTTAATCGGGATGTTTGTTTGATCTTTAGTAATTTAATTTTGCTTATTGTTGATACCAAAAAATGTGACTAACTCTTATCAAAGTGTTATTAAAAGTGGAAATTGACAAGATAATAATTAATGATTCTTGTATAGAAACTGGAAAATTTCTTAGTTAAAGTTGTGTTGTGACGATTTGGACAGAGGTATACAATATTTAATGGAACTTTTCTGAAATTCTTTTGTATGTCTTTGAACTTTAGCCATCAGCCAATTAATAAAACTTAAATACATTGATGTTACGGTAGTTAGAGGTAAGGTAGCCAGTTCCTCTATGGATTCCGGCTATAGCTCGCTTACACCTTCAGCCTGTTCACGTTCCATCAGGTGAGATGTAGGCCAAAAGCTCCACCGAAAAAAAAAAACAGCCATATAATGGCGTATAGAAATGTATAGAAACTGTGAATTTTATGCCTTTTGTTATCATTTATTTCATTAGTGTCGACACCGCCTTCCCCTTCATATTTGTTTTAAGTAACTGTCCTCACCATAGATTGTCTGGAAGATATCGCTTCATAGCGATAAGACCGCCTAGTTGTACCTTGTGTGTTCCTTTTCTTTTTGTTCTGTTCTTTGGTGTGCAATAAAGAGTATTTATTATTATTATTATATGGCTTAAACGAATGAAATAGACCGTTTTGTGGTTAATATAATTCAGCTTTGTATTCTATAGGTTTTATTTAATTGGTAGTGCTTATTTAAACGAGTTACAACCTTAATCATTAATTAACTTCTGTGAATAAGGAAAAGTATATCAGTGACTAGATTAAAGACCGAATAAGTAGAGGTTGCAGTTTTGCAGTTAGCTGCTCTTTGTTATGAATTAAAGTAAAGTTATATTTGGTTTGTTTGTTCTTTAGTCTCTCATTGTATCATAATTGCAGCGTAATCAAAGTATCGTGTGATAATTAGCATTTCGTTCAGGAATATCTCTCAAAATTTCTAAGTTAAAGTTTGTTTAGAAATATCACTCTAATTGGAAGGGATGTTTCAGCTTCGCATCATATGCATACAACAATAACATTTCAAAACTGTTAATAGATACTTCCATTCGTTTGATGTATGAGTGTGATTTCCACGTTTTTATTTATGTACATACATAACACGTATTGACTACAAAATTTGGTTAAGTGTGAACTAATGTAATTTTTCAGGGTTCAGTTATATTTTTTGTCCTAAATCGGCCTAAAAAATTGATAATCCTTAATCTATAAGCTGCTGTCTCTATTGAATAAAATCATTTAATGTTTTGATAAGACGATTTTCCAGTACATAGAGTAAAAAGTTATCGCATATCGCGATTTCGATGTTACTCTCATAACAAAAGTTTTTTATTCAAAATAATGGTCATTTTTACTTCGAGTTCCTAATTTTAACTAAACATTTAGACAAATGCTTATATTTTAAGAACCCCATTCGGCTACAATGTAGAAAACGGTGTTTCGTGTTTATATTCCAAGGGCAGAAGTCACGATCTACTAACCAGGATGATGAGAATTAATAGCTGACGTACGCTTCTAATTATTGAATTGATTACTCATTCGAATGGGCAGCAGCGCAATAAATCGTTAAATCCCAACTTCCCAACTATAATTAATATTATAAATGCGAAATAACTCTGTCTGTCTGTCTGTCTGTTACGCTTTCCCGCTTAAACCTCGCAACCGATTTTGATGAAATTTGGCATAGAGATAGTTTGAGTCCCGGGAAAGAACATAGGATAGTTTTTATCCCGGTTTTTGAAACAGGGACGCGCGCGATACAGTTTTTTGTGACAGACAAAATTCCACGCGGGCGAAGCCGCGGGCGGAAAGCTAGTTCTTAATAAAGGCCTATTTTTCGAAAGAAATGTAGTAGTTATCAAAACTGAAATTAAATAATTATATTATTTATAATTTTGGGGAAAAATACGCATAGATATGTCAAGATTCCTTGTATTTAATAAGAATTATGCATCCATTAGTTATTATAAGAATGAAGCATCCAAAATGCTCCAATTTTCATTTATGGTTTGTCTGTAAAATAAATGAACATAAACCTCAGTTATAAAATCATATAAATTTATCAATTTCAAACAGATATTATAAATAACAATAGGCTCTTTTAAAATGAATAAGATATAATAATTTAAGAAAGATTAGAATTAACTGCATTGAAGACAAATGAATGGCTATCATTATAATCAGTGCCAGCTGTCCTCACGAGCATAGTTGAGATGCAACCCGTGCCTTGCCCCATGCTGTGGTCCCTGGTGACCGTGATTTAACTCCTCCTGGCGCTGATGCACCGCCCCCTGCATCGCCAGATTCTTTAGCCTCAAAAACTCAATTAAAGAGTCATAGTCCTTATGCTCGTTATGTTCTGGACTCTTGACGTTGTGTGGGAGGATGAGGATCTGACCACCAGGTCCTCGAACGTAGTCCCGCCCGCCAGACTTCAAGTATCGGTAGTCCAGGACTACTGTAGGCTCGCTGTAGTCAGGGCTGTACACACTTTCTATTATCCTGAAAATAGATTATATCTATTAGAGCTAAGTCCGTAGTAAGGTTCTCGGAGTTATTCCGGTTTTCGGTCACAGGTTTATAAGTACCTGTTTAAATAATACTTACTTATGTTGTTTCCTCAGAATGTCATCTGAGATGTGTGCCTGTAACAAGGAATAAGTATGATTAATCAAAATGAAAATGTATGATTCAAAAGCCAAGCCACCTACAATTACACCCCTTAACTGAGAAGTGAGAAAAATTAAAATAAACATACCAGTCTATTTCTAAACTGACATTTGTCATAAAATTGATGAATCCTGATGGAGCAGAAGTACCTATCTTTTTAAGTGAGGATGCTCTAAGTCGCAATATACATAAGTGACATGATCACGATGATAATAATGTTCTGGTACAGCAGTGAACTGTTTTTGATGATGGTAATGGAACTAGCTTCCTTACAAAATGTCTTATAGATGGTGATGGTGTTAGGGCCTTCGCCTACGGCGACTTTTTGTAGTGATGCTGTCGCGCGTTTCGTAAATGAGCGACAGCATCGCTACTAATGCGCGTTAGTCGCATTTGCAGATTTGCACTACAGAAGCGATGCTAACGCGCTACTAACGCGCTAAAGCAGCGCGACTGTATCGATGCAAACGCGCGACAGTGTCGGACGACATCGGGGAGGGAATGGAAGGTTAGGGTTACTGAATCGCGTTTGAATCCCGACAGAAGCGCGTTTATGGGCGAGGGCACACAGCTAGTGACTGTATCGATGCCGACGCGCGACAGAATCGCTACTGCATCGCTACAAAAAGTTGCTGTGGGCGAGGGGCCTAATTAGAGCTACCTTTCTTTGGTGATGAGGGTCGTCATCATGGCCGCGGTCGAACCGCTCGTGCTCGTCGCGCTGCACGAACACGGGGCTGGCTGCGGCCGCCGGCTCCAGCTCCGGCTCCGCCACGCCCAGCGCCAGGACACAAGCCAGCACTAGCAGCTGTAAAGCGGAATAAACATGACAATCTAAGGCTAAGTTGCACCATCTTACTTTAACTTTGACAAACGTCGAAAATCTGTCAGACCCCATACATAAAGCACTGGCTATTGTCATAGTTACGGTTAAAGTAAGTTGGTGCAACTAAGCCTTAACTTTGAAACATAATATATTAATACTCGTAATACCTACTACTATTATTTACGCTACATACTTAGTGGGAATAAAGGAACAGCCTACTTGATACTTTTATAAGTCGATGATATTGAATAATAGAAGTAGATAGTACATGACTTACTTGCAACATGTTAACCGTAGGGCGGTACAAAACCTACTGAAACTTTATTAAAATATAACCTTCTTAATAAGCACGCAAAACATGAATCTTACCTACTACATAATTAAACTCCGGATATTCAGACTATTACATCATTATTGTGTTTATTTTTCCGATAAATGCCTACTAAGTTACACAGGTCATACTCGGGGGTATTTATTTAATTCATGAAGTATCTACGCATTTTGGTGAAACGCCTTTTAATAGTACAAGCTCTAGTAATTTAAGTACTTAATGATGGCATCGTGTTGGCAGATGTTACGAGCAAATGATCTATTTTAATACACGAAAGGTTCTATTTTAAATAAAAGTAACTATATTATAAGTAACTATCAATCATTATGGATTTGAGTGCTTTAATAGTTACAATTAACACACACATGTTACAATTCGTGGGTTGAATCACGAAAAGGCGTATCTAACAAAATGGCGATATTGAGTTACACACACCATGTTATTAAAAAACATGCATTTTATAACCTTTCAAAAGATCGTAACCGAATTCTTTGTCAGGAAGCCAGTATAAGTTAAAGAGGGCCCAAAATGCACTTTTCCAAACTTCAAATTTCCTTTAAACGTCATCATTTTGATCATCATTTCAGCCATAGGACGTCCACTGCTGAACATAGGCCTCCCCCAATGATTTCCACAATGGCTGGTTGGTGGCGGTCTGCAACGTCGCTCCTGTTAAATGATAAATATCAGTTACGTATTTTCGTGATTCGACCCACGAATTAATTAAATTACAATTAACAACACACAAATGTCACATTTAGATCCAGAGAGTAATTAAACCTGGAATTTTCATGAATTAGTCATAGGCTCCTGATGTTTTTTTTAAATTCAGAACAAGGCAGCCCGGCAGGTATTGGACAGCCTAATCCCACCTGATGTTAAGTGAGATGCAGTCTAGGATGGTACATTACCTGCACTGTAAGTGCATATTCACTCTCGCCTTTATAAAGCCCGGATTATAGTGTTCGGGAAAGGCAACAGATTCCAGTCCCTAAGTGATGGCTCAATCGACTCGACTGAAGGCTTAAAACGGTGCTTTACGCGGCACGAAAATTGTATTTTCACAACTGGTTAGTAGTAAAAAAAATTTGTGTTCTAAAAGTTAATTCAGCGCCTATTGTGTACCTACGACGGACTAAACTTAGAACAACAGTACCTCTAGTAGGAAAAACTTTCGAGTTCGTTTCGTTGCGTATTCAAAATGTCATCGAAAAATTTTGTATGAAAAATTAAACAGCGCCCCCTAGGGCGGCTATAATATAGGGGGCGCTGTTTAAATTTTCATACAAAATTTTTCGATGACACTTTGAATACGCAACGAAACGAACTCGAAAGTTTTTCCTACTAGAGGTACTGTTACCTATAACATTCACATTCTGATGTGAGCTAATATCTACATTTCGTTGCGATTGCTCCTGGCTTTGTGCCAGGATCTTGACCAGGAAAAAGTAGAGGACACCGGTGGCTTGGTGTACGCGCCTTTATTTTATGACTTTATTATTTTCTATGACTTTTGACAACATTTCAACGACGAGTCATATCGTCCCAACCCGATGGTCGGAGGGTTTGGTGTAGACTGCTATGGTTACTTATACAAATTGGTCGGGCCAGTAGAAATCGCGATTCAAAAAAAGCTGAAAGCAGTTCAACTGAAAGACGTCTATTGCTGGACAAAGGCTACTGGCTTACGACCCGGTGGTGCCCAGGTTACTCGCGACTTACTAGGTCAGTGATTCATCATGTGGGAGGTCTACTTATATTGCGTTTTCTAGTGTGTGGTCGACATTCAAGAACTTTTCTGCCCCAAAGGCCTAAGATCTTGTTTTTTATAAAATATCTGAATTATTCATTACTTAACATGCAAAGTCTCAGCCGATAATGAAGGCTTAGAGTTTCAGTCCCCATCACTCTTTTTCTCATGCCTTCAGTGGAGTAGTTCAGGACCTTAGAACCCATACATTTATGAATAGCCGAATCTGCTTGACAAATAGCCTAAAGTTTAACATAATTAATTACTTAATAGGAAACGGTGACTAATTGTTGATTTTTATTTGTATTCAGTTGGATGCTTTGGTATAGTCATTACAATTCTTAAAAGCGATCCAATGTGAAATAATAACTATTCAAAAGTGTTTTCCGACGTCTCTAATTTGCATATTTTCAATAGTGGCGTACAACTTAATTAATTTTTAAGTAAATAAGTAACGTAGTATTTCTTCTTTTCTATTTTCACATTTATTAATATAATAATAATAATAAATAAATATCCTTGGACATTATACACTACGCTTCTAGTCCCAAACTAAGCAAAGCTTGTACTATGGGTACTAGACAACGGATATAAACATACTTAAATACTTTTTTTTTTTGTAAATACATACATATTATACATAGTAACACCCAGACCCGTCACAGAAATTAAAATTCATAATTTCAATTTCTACCCGCCCGGGAATCGAACCCGGGACCTCTCGGCATAGTAGTCCGTTTCCGAACCACTACACCAAACGGCCGACGTTATTAAATAGATCTGCATGATATTTAACATGTATTGTGTTACTGGGAATTTTGAATTATTTTGTTTATTTATTTATTTATTTGTAATAGGTATACAAACAGTTGTCTGTCTGTTAAGTTAAGTTTAACAAATGGGTTTTTATCATTATTAATTGTACCCTGTTATTCTACCTATATTTTAGATACTACTTATTAAGGGTATAATAAAACGATTATTGAGCGCTCATCGAACAGTATAATTTGCATAAATAATATCTTTGGAGATCACAAGTTCACGATGTCCACGGTCGCCAGTCTTATCAATCAGTCTAGGGAGGAGGTCTGTTAGGTGTTTCTTAATGATTATAGCCTCGGTTGTACTTGAGGTTCCTTGGGTGGTAGTAGCCGTCTTCCTGGAACTTGTAGACCCTGGGGGCGTGGATGGACAGCATCGGGATGTTGTGCTGGGCGTGCTTGTCTTCCTTGTGCTNTTTAGAGTTTAACAAATGGGTTTATATCATTATTAATTGTACCCTGTTATTCTACCTATATTTTAGATACTACTTATTAAGGGTATAATAAAACGATTATTGAGCGCTCATCGAACAGTATAATTTGCATAAATAATATCTTTGGAGATCACAAGTTCACGATGTCCACGGTCGCCAGTCTTATCAATCAGTCTAGGGAAGAGGTCTGTTAGGTGTTTCTTAATGATTATAGCCTCGGTTGTACTTGAGGTTCCTTGGGTGGTAGTAGCCGTCTTCCTGGAACTTGTAGACCCTGGGGGCGTGGATGGACAGCATCGGGATGTTGTGCTGGGCGTGCTTGTCTTCCTTGTGCTCTTCTTGGATGTGCACTTCTTCTTCTACGTGCTCGACCACGGGCTTGTGGTCTTTGTGCTCTTTCACCTCTTCGTGGTCTTTGGTCTTGTAGTAAACATGATGGTGCGGCGCTGAATATTCGACTATGGCTTTGAATCTGTGGGATAGAAAGAAAAAATTGTTAGTATATTCAGCATGGATCATGAAAAACATTTTAGTTAGTTAGTTTTGCAGGGCAATCGAATACCGCACTTAGCCTCATGATTGGGCCTCATGATACGTGGTAGATATGGTCATCTTGGATGGAGTTACTACACAGATTATTATTTCCGAAACAATTGAAGAAGTCAACGGAAGCATTCACTGGACTTATTCCACTGTATATCTTATATACAAGAGTTGTAGCGGTGGATAACAGAGACGGGGTAGTCCCTTTATTTCAGACTTGTTCTAACTCTTTAACGATTGGATTACTATGGCGTTACATAAGGCCTTAGGTAATAAGGTGGAGCAGGTTAGAATTTTTATTGTTTTTGAACTTTAAGACGGGATTAAAATACTATTCCCTGTGCCTTATTAAGGATAATATTCGTATGGATTAAGATAGCTTCTGTACTAACCCGGACTTCTTGTCAGCGTGGTACTTGACGGTGCGCTTGCGGCCATCAGGCTCGTACAGCCAGTACTCGCCCTTCACCTCGTCCCCGTGTCTGGTCTCCGACTGACCTTTCTTGTCGTGCGTGTGCGGATCATCCACCTTGTACGAGAATTCGTATGATGGATACGACCAAGCCTGGAACAGAATGGGTTTAGTGCCTTATGATATGCATGGATTTACTTATGTTTGCCTACTGTACACAAATCATCTTGTTAGAAGAGCATTGTGAAATGAATTTACTGAAAGTTACTTATACGGTTATTAGGCTGTCAGAACAAGGGAATGCAATCCGACAATTTAAAATAGGATGGGATAGAGACTTAGACTGAGTTGCACCACCTAACTTTAACGGTAACTATGACGATAACCGGTGCTTTTTGTATGGATTTTGACAGATTTTTGACGTTTGTCAAAGTTAAAGTAAGATGGTGCAACCCACCCTTAGCAGTTCAGTATTTACAGAAACTCTTATATTGCAAAAGATTGATATCTAATTGAAATAGGTAGGTAGGTACTATTTTGAAATAAATAACGTTTTCTCACACAAGGTGGACCGACTACATCATAAAGGTAGCAGGAAAGCGCTGAACGCAGGCCGCTACCAATCGATCAATATGGAAAGCAGTTATTGGGAGAGGCATATGTTCAGCAGTGGATGTCCTATGGCTGAAATGACGACAGTTTTCGCCGTGTTTGGAAAAAAAGTGAAAAATATGTACTAAAAATAAATGCATCCAGCTGTTTTAAGTATCAAGTTAGGTACCTAGTTATTATTGGCTCCATGAGCCATTTGAAGTACTTACGTATTCTTCATGATGCTCTGGCTCCTTCGAACCGATGTGGGAGATCTCGCCATAGTGCTTCACTATCTTCTGCTCAGAGATCGCGTGGCCGTCGCCTAGGACGCACAGCGCCAGACTCAACAGGGTTGCAGCCTGGAGGCAAAACACTTCTTTATTACTATTCATAAAATAAATAAGAGCGCTCAAAAATTTGTTGTTGTAAACAGAAAATCTTTCTTTTCCACAGGTTTTGGTTATGGTACTTATTGTTATTTAAAAACACTTGTTTTTGTTTTTGATAAAATATTAAATCATAACCCCCTTATTAAAGTTACACCCTAGTTGGACTTTGGCTTAAATTATTATCATTTAGTAAAGAAATGTCATTATAATCCAGTGTTCATCCCAGGTGTAATTTTTTATTATTAATAAGGGAGTATGAGTTCATTTATTTATTTATTCAAAAGTATTTATTTCTTCCTTGTTATATTCAAGAAAACGTTTTATAATTTAGGTATTTATATTTCAATTGGACTCCTAGCTTTTTGAAACTATTCACTTATTAACCTTATTGTAGCTTTAACACAAAAACACTTTAAACTTTTAAATCCACAAAATAAAACTAATAATCACCTTCAAAAACATCTTGTTTACTTGTACAGATTCTATTGATTTACTATACTCGAATGATATCATGGATGATCTCGTCAAGTATTTATACAGAAAATATTGGTTTTAAATCATCCGTTTCCTGCAACACGTAGTTGGCAATTATTATTTTTTCAGCCAGTTTCTAGACTTGCTGATGGGCGTGTATTTATCAGAATTATTGCAGGATATCATAGCAGCCTATTCACACTCTGTATCAGCGCCTAATTGTTCCAGGCGTTAACCGGATCAGGGTAATCATATCCTTATCGGCTTACACATAAAAGATTAAAATATTGTGAAATAACAACACTATGGTGGATTTTTGTTCTAATTTTAGACTTTTTATACTGTGCTTTTTAAACTCATTGTTCTCTACATAAACTGTTTCATACAGTAAAACGATGAGATGATTATGAAATACGTAATTACTTCTAAAATTATAACACAATGAGTTTATTTTATTTCTCCTTTCAAGTGTTGTAGAATACCTAATCTCTCAACAATTATTAAACAAATACTAAATACTAATTACTGTAAAAATAAGTTGACTAAAGTTATTTCTCAACCGACATAATATAAAAAAATGTGTCAGGTCTTGCAAACTATAGTTCGATTTTACGTTGCAAAAAATATTTCAGGATTTTCCAAGTGCTACGATAATATGCTACGACAAGGAAAATAGACCTCGTAGAACGAACGCAACGCCTAGAGACGCGATACAGCAAAGTTTGGTTGCTCTATAAAATATAACTTTGATGAAGGAAGTATGAGTAAGGCGTTTTAAAATAAGGTATTTATTTACCTTTATAATTTTAGTGTCTTTAGATTCCTGATTTATGCGAAATGAGGAAGTATCTTTAATGTCAGCTAATCCAGTTTAATTTAAGCCTTATAAAACTCATTAAAACTGACAGCTTCCTTAGAGAAATTTCTTATGATTTATTTTACTTAACTAATCTAAACTAATCTACATTACGTGAAATTATTGCTTCATATATTGGGGCCAATGTCTGAAAAAGCTTTTCGTAATAAAACGTTCGCGCCTTATAAAATCTTGACGTAGGTATTCGTTTGTCCAGTGTTCTACGTCTCTTACATACTTGAACTCTCTCAAAACAGTCTCTACTTAGAGATTTGATTCCTAGATGAAACATAATTATTATTACAATTTAGGTTCTTCAAAGTCTGACACTAGGGTTATGACTATGATTATCACCTAAACTATTTATTTATTTAAACTTCTTTGCATACAATATTATAGTAACCACAAAAGGAAAACTTCATGCCATAACGATCCATTGAAGAGGAAGTAAGGCTGTACATCAGCTCATATTATGGATTAACAAGAGTTTATTTTGTATTCTGGCTCCCCGACCTGTCACACTGCGTGGGGAAAGTAGGTCAAATCCTCCATTTGCTTGGTAATTCGCAGAGAGTCGTGATCCTGCAGTGGAGACTATGAACTGATGTTGATGAAGATTCCGTATTCTGATGCTGCCACATAAATAAATATAGCGAATTATAGCTCTACATCAGAATCCTTGTGTTACGAATCACTGTATTCTTTACTGATTGCGAAAGAAAAAAAAACACTTTATTTTACATATTAGCGCTAATATTTTATTTTGCATGTTATCTTTATTTACAAAAATGAGAATTGGTTGGTGTGAATCAGTCTTATTGGAGATGGATCTTCTTAGTTTAGAGGTGGTGATGATGTTGGGCAAGATGAATATGATGATGAGGCGAGGAGTGGTGCACGATGGCGTTGAATCTGAAAAGATAAAGAGATCATCAATCATCTGTAGAACTTTCGTACCAGTAAAATACAAAATGAATCAGTAGAGAGTCATACAAAATTGTATTGATATTACTATTACTATTTTGGGATTACACAATACGTGGCGGATTTTCTTGATATGTAGTAATTCATCAAATCCAAGTGTTTTTCATGAAAGGCGTTCATTATTTTTTGGCTAGTTGCACAGGATTTACGTATTCAAAGGCCTCGATTTCGACCTTCCTGTATTAACTACCAGCCGGAATCTAACACTTTGTAGGCGTTTGAAAACGTAGCAATTAAAGTATTATTTTACAAAATGTTATCGATTGTGGTTGTTTCTAATTTAAATTCATTTTTATTTACATTAAGTGGTTCAAGTTGTTGCGTCTATATTAGAAAGGGAGAAGTTGTCCGACAAAGAACCATTTATAAACTTAAGAAGAGGAGTAATAGATACTTTTATTTAGGTTTTCTTCAGAAGTAAATTGACAAAGTCCGGGGTTTCGCAGATATACTGATATAGATCGATACTTGCCAAATATTTTCAGTATCTTACCCAGTGTGGTCGTCAGCCTTGTACTCGACCTTCCTGAACTTGCCGTCGGGCACAACGAGCTCGAGTCTAAGGGTGTTTGGACTAAATAAAAATATTTATCTTTCTTTTTTTCTTTCTCATACCCGCCCTTGACGACGTCTCCCTGGCGCAGCTCGTGCTGGGACTTCACGTCACCAGTGTGGTGGTCGTGCACGAAGTGCGCTAGCTTGTGTTCCCAGAATACTTTCAGTATCTTACCCAGTGTGGTCGTCAGCCTTGTACTCGACCTTCCTGAACCTGCCGTCAGGCTCGATGAGCTCGACGAGCTCATACCCACCCTTGACGACGTCACCGTGACGGAGCTCGTGCTGGGACTTCACGTCACCAGTGTGGTGGTCGTGCACAGAGTACGCGTACTTGTATTCCTAGAATACTTTCAGTATCTTACCCGGTGTGGTCGTCAGCCTTGTACTCGACCTTCCTGAACCTGCCGTCGGGCTCGACAAGCTCGTACCCGCCCTTGACGACGTCCCCGTGGCGCAGCTCGTGCTGGGACTTCACGTCACCAGTGTGGTGGTCGTGCACAGAGTACGCGAACTTGTATTCTGGGAAGGCCTGCAACAGATACAAAAATTGAGAGACATTGGCAAGAAAATTGAGTGAAATCATCATTTGTATTAATAATTTAGTGAAAGATTGAGACTGTAGGAAAAAGTACCTCAGGATAGGAAAAATGCCGGTTGCATACCTACTAGTCGTAAGTTTTAGATACTATCTAGAGCGTTGCTTCTAATTAATTTGTAGGTACTCGTATACTACAGAATGAGTTAAGAAACATAGTTATATACCGGCTATGTTTCATGTAGTTTAGTTATTGGTTAAAATTTCTTAAGCTGTGTTTATGATTGCCTTTAAATGGGTTAGTATAGTATAAACGTCGGCTTAACAAAATCAGCACGACAGGTTGTAAAATTGACATGCAATTCCTAGTTATTTCCTCTAAGTTGCGCTTTTATGCAATTATAACTAAGGTTTTGCAGATTAGTTGGACAAGTTACTTAAACTTAACGTACTCGATTTGTAAATTAGAAAAATAAATTAACGATTTCCATGCTATTTCCATAATCAGCCCACGCGTATAATTTGTCTTTATAGCTTCATAAATATAGGTACCATGTAACCAATTAACTGTCATAGAATGTATTTAAATCACTCAATTCGTATTTGAATACTAATCTATCGTAATAAAGATCCACTGCATCGTATCATTTGTGACTGTTATGATATTAACGCTAAACTAACGTAAATGTAATGTTATGTATTTCTTCTACATAAAATTTTCACTTTGTTTCAGGTCTTTATCTAACGAAAATTTTCATGACTTGAACGTCAATAAATAACTTGTATACTTACTTACCTACTTATAGCAGTTGCCCAAAAGAGGATTACACATAATAATAATGTATAATTGTTAAATTGTTGTTGTAACTGTTTTGTTTAGTAATGTAGAGCTCGTTATAAAAGGAAACAAAATAAATAGTACCTACCTACTACTTGAAGTACCTATTATTACGAGTAAGGATGATACTCATGACAGGTAAAGCTGATAGCTGAGTAGATTTCTCGAATATATTTCTGTTACGAAATGCCGAAATACTTCAATCTTTTATATCGTGAAAGCAATCACTGCTACGTCACTATGTTACTGCTCCAACACCACTCCATTTCTTCGGAAATCTGCTCAGCTATATATCTACGCTATTTTTAACAGACTTCAAAAAAGGAGGAGGTTATCTAATACCTAGTACTCACATAATGGTCATGGTGCGGCACATGGTGGATTGGCACGTGTGGCACATGAGGGATGTGATGGTGCAGCAGCGGCAGGTGGTGGTGGATTGGCACATGGTGATGGATCGGCACGTGGTGGATTGGCACGTGGACAGGGTGGTGAGGCCCGTCGTGCTTCTGGAAGTCCTGGTGGGACACCGCCGGGTGGTGGTGGTGGTGGTGGAATGGGAATATCGCCTGGCACGCCGAAGCCAAGGCCAGGACTGTTAACATCTGCCACAAACATAATAGGGTATATTATTATTATCGATTGTGTTGCTTATCAGTTTTGAGATGAAGTTTGGCTGGTTTCATGAATCATCGTCGCTGATTTAAAAGCTGTCTTTAATGTCATTCATCATCTTCAACCAATCTTAATGGACTTCCCATATGAAGGTAGCCTTGGGTCTAGCCTATCTTATAAAAGAAAATGAAGCGTCAGATTAGTAACACTGTTAATATAAAAGTCACAGTAAATACTTGAAGACAAATTACCGAAATAAAATACTAGTTATTCCAATTTTCAGGATTTCAAATTTAAAATTTCAGGGCAGATAGAAATAGGTATTAAAACAACGCACTACGTAAGTATATTTTTGCATCATATTATGCAAAGTTTGATCATGCGAGGCACCAATTAAAGATTATTCTCACGTAAATTCAAAGAATATCCCAATAACGTCACTTAAATATGAACAAAAACTTTAATAACACGAAGTTACAACATTTCACACACTTCACTGAACAGATATAATAGGCTTCAAAGTGTTCAAATAAATTAGTAATTAGGCAATTTAATAGTAGGTTAAACGATGTCAGTTAACAATAAAATGTTAAGGGGCACTCACTAATTCACACTTTTGAAAATATTTACTGTTCAATTGTTAAACTTACTTTGAACAACATGTTGACAAATTAATTTAGGGACTCAACGGCTTCCCAGTTGTGATCTACACCAATAGTGTACATGTATCTCTGGTTCATTAGTTTATATAGAGGTTATAATTGTGGGATATATTAGAGCAAAAATCAATTTCTCAGGGTTTGCCAACTCTATCGTAACATTGCCTCGGCAACATTGCGACTATGTTAGGGACGTACATAATTAGTGACTTGGCGCTTAGCTTTTTATGAATGCGTCGAATTCCTTCGGTGTTCGTATCAAAGTGCATCATACCGTAGAGCCTGTTTGGTCAATAAGTCGCACTAGAATTAACTGTATCGACTGTCAGTCCTTAAAAAAACCTAATTAAGTGTGAAAATCTTACGTCAACACTTGTCGAATGTAGGTATTTGTTTGAAATAACTATGTTAGTAATGACAATGCCTCGAACCTTGGCTACTTTATCTCCCCGAGAAAAGTAACTATAGAAAAGAACGGTATCTGCAGTCTGGCAGTTCAGGCTGAGTAAAAAAAAATATGATGAAAAATTTATTGTTGTACCTCTATTGTTATACCACAGTAAGGCTGGGTTACACCATCTTACTTTAACTTTGACAAACGTCAGAAATTTGACAAATCCCATACAAAAAGCACCAGTTACCGTCATAGTTACTGTCAAAATTAGGTGGTGTAACTGAGCCTAAGTTTTAATGTTATACGCAACATACAACAAAAACAGATGTTTATTCATTGGAGTTAACTTGCTATTTATTTACCAATTATTCTAAAATTCATGCCATGAAGCACATTCAAAGTTGCAAGATAAAAATGGACTAAATAATTTAAGAAACGCACTGATTTTTTAAGGTTATTTTGATCGTTAAACGAAATAATTGCAAATTTACTGAGGATATGGTTTAATTAGTAAATTTTGATTGATAAGACTCGAACATGATTTCTATTAGTCATTGAGTAATACTATATCTATCATATTGATACCACAGAGATCCAGTCTATCCAGTTTAGAAAGCTTTCACTTGGCCCCATAATTTTTTGACTCAAATGCTCACCTCACCCCTAGTCCGGATATCGATCTACTTCAACAATTAGATCTACTGTACTGAACCTATTTGTATAAAAAGTAAGCAATTGTTTAACATCAGGAAGGTGGATTAGTCAAGAGGACTATTCAGGCACTCTGTTCTATTGCCAGTGTGAGAATGCGTTCAGAATTGAGGCTCGCAAAAACTGCGACAATGGCACAAATGCATGTTGTAGCGAGGGAACTATTTTGTTGCTGGTCTGTGGAACTATTAAGACACATTAGTACTATAAGTTGCGTATCAACTGTTGCACAGTGTAAAATCAGATGTTTGTGACAAACTTACTGGTGTGTAGCTTAACTTAGTCAGTGCGTAAGATAAAAGAGTGGCACGAGAGGGGTGACATTGACATTTATGTCATGACAGAGTATACAAATCTGAAGCATATCTGAAGTCTCGGTGACGTTTGACGTCTCAAAAACAGGGTTCCCGTGCCGCTCTCATACTCAGGGAGGATTCATCAACTGGGACCGCAATTAACTGGGACCGCGGTCCCAGTCGCCGGATGCGTAAAAATTAAATAATTTTCTTCCGGCGACTGGGACCACTCATGGATTTTAGTACTGTACCGATTTTGGATTGAATAATATTTTCTTTTAAGTTATCTATGAGTGGTCCCAGTCGCCGGAAGAAAATTTTTTTTTTTATCGATTCGGCGACTGGGACCGCGGTCCTAGTTAATTGCGGTCCCAGTCGCCGGAAGCCTCCCTCAGGCACTGACTCAGTTAAACGCTAGACACTCTATTTAGCTGGTACAAAGGGAAACGGTAAACGTTAACATTGACTCATTGCATTCACAGTTAACAAACGCGTGTATTCATGAAATGAAGCCTAATTGGGCATAAGAATCTATTACAGTACTATTTATTACAATTGAAATTAAATCATTCAACGGATCGATTAATCTTCAATTATAATTCGACCCAGTTTTTTACGATCCCACTCAATCAAATATTCAAACGAGCTCAATTTACATGAGAAATTAAACGTTCACTGACAATTCACTGTAGTTAGTACGTTTTCGTTAATCGTCTGTCAGACATACAGGGTGTTGTTTAAAGTAGACTGAGCAATTTCGACTACAGAAAATATTGAAATAGTAATTTTGTTTCCCCATAGACGACATCAGAAAGACAATAGATAAGTTATAAACCGACAAATCATTGGGGGAGGTCTATTTTCAGCAGTGGATGTCCTTTAGATGAAATGATATGACATGGTACACACGAGTGTAGATACTGCTGCGCTATTAATTTGTGAACTAACTTGCATAGTCCAAGTGTCAAACAACGTTTAGCTAGCTTTCCGAAGACGCATTGCCTGATTTAAGACTGACGCAATTTTTATCGCAGCATAGGTACGCAATTGCTAAAGAACAATATCAAACTATTGCGAATATAAAGTCAGCAGGACAACACCCTGTATAGGTAGTTAGAGTAAAGTGGCGTAAGTTTATAGTTTGTGTAAACGGTAGAAAATGTACAAATAAAGTTGGCAGGCTGTTTAAAAATTATAACTGTTTCTGACAGCGTGTGAAAATATTATTTATCTTAAGATGGTGTTAAACTTGCCCTTGTTTTTACTTTATAAGGATTTGTGCTCAGTAATCGCAGACACATTTACTCATTACATATAAGATACAATCAAAATGTCCACACTTAAAAATATAGAGCAGCTTTACGTTGTTGTTTACGTATTTAGTACACGTTGCGTTAATGCAATTTATGATGGAGTTTTAACTTTGTTGATTCAAGTTTATTAAACATTACGTATAACACTAAATATGTAGATGCAACTGTTCATCAGTTTGTCTTTGTAATTGTTTTTTTTTATCCATATGAGACAATTTTAAAAATGCAGTACCATTATTATGTTTTTAATTTTAATTTAGTGTCTGCATATTGGGGCTGTATTTTGACAAGAAGTCATTAAAATAACGAGTGTTGCTCAATGCTAGCAAACATAGTACTATGGTAATAACTGTAACAGATATTGTTTCCAGGTCAATGTCTAAGCAAGAACGAAAAAGAACGGCGTACGACATTAAAAATTGCTTGCGATAATAAAAACAGACCACAACCGTAGTTAAGCGAATGCTTGTTACTTAGGTCCGTATTATCATATGAAACTCAAAACTTAACTCAAAATCAAGCTTGTGATTGATTTAATTCCAATCTTTCGACCAATAACAAATTTGACTCAAGAAATTCCATGCTTGATTTGACTTCATGCTTGATCCTAGATTGAATCAAGTTTCTATTGTCGAAGGCTTGAGAAAGAAGAAAGCTTGAGCGTGCTCGTCCTCTACTATTTATGAATTTAATACGCGAAGTTCACAATTAAGTAGAGAATGAGTACGCTCAAGCTAAAAATCTCAATCCAAAACCGAGCCTTAGGCATTAAAACTTTACAAATATTTTTGTTACTCTACAGTCCACCGATAATTGTTTTGATACCTAAATCACTTGGAGGTGGTAACTACTTACGAACATGTCAACAGTTTTCGCGTTTATTTTTTCGTTTAATTGCATTAATCCTGTGAAATAGTTGGTACCAGTATATGACTGGTAGACGCAATGCTTCGTGTTGGGCAAGTTTTTGCTTAAAGTGTATGCTTAGCAAAGGGAGTTGCATTATAATCGTTTTTCCTTTGAACCTCTCTCAGTCCTTGTAAATTAAAAGTGCCATTAATAATCAGGTTAAGTACTATGCTTCTGTAGATAAAAACAAATTGAAAACAGTCTATCTCAGTGTAAGTCCTACTAATCATCTTTTTTTCCTGTTAAAGTTATCAAGTTCATTCTGAACTTGATCCAGAACAGATTATCGCAAAATTTTATTAAGATTATAGATTAGAAGAAAAGTTTTTCAAACAATGTTTGTTGTATCACAGACAACATAAACTTTGTCTACATATTTTTCTATAATACTCCGGTCAGTCTGAATAATTTTATGCTATATTAAAAAAAATGCCTTGTAAATGTTTACGTGTAATACAATTCTTGTGCAATTAGGTTCTTATAAACAATTTTACTTCAATATTGTGGTACCATAAAAGGCGAATAAATCTCCGACTTTATATGCGCCGCGTTCTTGACTACAGAACAATGCGCATTGTGGTGTAATATGCAGTATATCTGTGTATATAATTGCGTGTAATGATAGCGATCACTGATTTCCCATTCAGCTTAGTTGTATCCTACACGCTATTAGGTGCGAATAATTCTGTCTAATTCTGTCTAATCGAGGCAACATTGGTTTTTACGGACGATTAAGTTTGGGTTTCGTTTTGGCAGGATACGCTCAAGGTACGAGTACGATTCGTAGAAATAAAACGGGCGTGTATGGAGTAATGATAGCCTTTGATTCGGGTTAGTATTAAGTGGCGATCGCGCTTTGTTTCTAATTAAAATGTAGTAGGTAGTACTAGATGTGGAATCATATAGGAGTGGCCTACATTATAGACTAAGAGCTAGTGAACGCCAGACCTACGTTATTTTGTAAAGGCTGAAAGTTTGGCAGCGCATGCTCCCAACATAGCTAAGAACCATGGCCAAACATGAAGTTTGGGTCATGGTGGCTTTGGCAGACAGACGGTACTAAAAGTGTGTAAAATACCAACTTAATTACGTCAAAGTATAAAGGCTGATTTTTTAATATTTCCTTCAAAATGTTATTAGTAATGACGTCATCAATTGACAGACACCTACCATGGTGGCAGCCCTTAGCCAGACACCTTAAAGTTCATGAAAATGTGGTCCTACTTACGTCATACTATAAAAGCTGATATTTACATAAAATATTTGAACTATCATTTGATGAAGTTTCCTCATCAGCCAGACACTTCTGATGGTTCCTTCGCCCTGCCAGACAGCTTTTAGGGTGGCTGAAAGTGCGAACGCGAGGCACTATAATTATTGTTTTTTGTACTTTTTCTTATGTTACTCAAGTATTTGA